GCCATCAATTTCCAAATGTCTATTTCAGCACCAGGCATCCTTGGACAGTGCACTGGGGAAGCATTCTCTGCCCTGAAGGTCAGTCTCAACCCCTATTAAGTGTTACTGGATCAGGAGAAGTTCATTCTGGCTCCACAGGCAACAGTAATAGGAACCAAGCAGGAACCCAGGCACCAGATGCACAAAGCAGACTCAAATAGTATGCACCAGTTCTGAAAACCAAATTGTCATTGAAACCACAGCCTGTAAAAACAGGCCAGGACCTACATATCAAACCTAAACAGGGTGACCATCTGCTAAGGCAAAAGATTTAAATAGATTCAGAGTCTCCTTTTTAAAAAGATTTTATTTATTTATTTTGAGAGAGACGGAGAGAACATGAGCAGGGGAGGGAGGGAGAAAGAGAGAGAGAGAGAGAGAATGAATCTGAAGCAGGCTCCATGCTCAGTGCAGAGTCTGGCACGGGGTTTAATATTACGACCATGAGATTATGACCTGAGCCAAAACCAAGAGTCAGACATTTAAGTAACTGAAACAGCCAAGTGCCCCAGATTCAGAGTCTCCTAATATAATATCTAAAATGTCCAGAATACAACTGAAAATCATACCAAAACCATCATACCAAAAACCAGGGGAAAATAACAATTTGAATGAGAAAAAACAATCAACAGACCCCAAGAAGAGATGAGAAAACAGATGACAGAATTACCCAACAAAAACTTTAAAGTAGCAATCATAAAAATGCTTCATTGAGAGAGTACAAATATTCTTGAAGTAAATGAAAATACAGTAAAACCTTGGATTGCAAGTAACTTGTTCTGCAAGTGTTCCACAAGAAGAACAACATTTATAATACATTTAACTTGATAAACAAGCAATGTCTTGCAATACAAGTATTACATGATGTCACATGTCACATGATCACAAATAAGCCAATGGTTCTTGAAATTCTCTTTGATGTACACGTACTTGTGATTATGGATTACAAGCATGTTTCCAGAATGAATTATGCTCACAAACCAAGGTTTTACTAAAATCTCAGCCAAGGAATAGAAGACATAAAAAAAAACCAAATGGAAATTATATAACTGAAAAAATACGATAACTAAAACTAAAAACTCACTAAATGGGCTAGATAGGAGAACAAATATGAAAGAGAATGGAATCAGGGAATTTGAAGGGAGAGCAATACAATGACCTAATCTGAAAAACAAGAGAGAAAACCAACTGAAAAATAAATGAAAAGAGCTTCAGGGACCTATGGAACAATAATAAAAGATCTGACATTAATATCATCAGAATCCCAAAAAGAGAGAAGTTGAACTCATAGAAACAGAGAATAGAATGGTAGTTACCAGGGGCTGGGGGATGGGAGAAGTCAGGAGATGTTGTTCAAAGGGTACCAATCTTAGTTCCCAGAACTAAGGAGTCTAATGTACAACATGGTATCTATAGTTAATAATATGGTATTGTATATCCGAAATTTATTAAAAGGGCAGATCTTAAGTGTTCTCAACACATGCACGCACAAAAAGATAAGTATGTGAGGTGATGAATGTGTTAATCAACTTCATCATGGTAATCATTTCACAAAGTATATGGTTATTAAATCATCATGGAATAACTGGGTGGTTCAGTCAGTTAACCATCTAACTCTTTATCTCAGCTCAGGTCATGATCTCACAGTCGTGAGAGCCTGCTTGGGACTTCCTCTCTCTGCCCCTCCTGTACTTGTGCTCTCTCTCTCTCTCTCTCTCTCAAAATAAACAAATAAATATTTTTAAAAAACACATAAAATTTTATTTGTCAATGATACCTCAATAAAGCTGGAAAAGGAAGGAAGGAATAAAGGTTTTTTGAAAATAGCCCAAAGATGATGAAAGGTATAAATATACAGATTCAATAAGCTAAGAGATCCCGAATATAATAAAATCTAATGAAATCCATAACAAATGTGTCTTCTAGCCCAGCCAGCTTCCCAGATTCATATCTTCCCAGATTCATATTCACACTAAGGTGTGCTTAGTCCACACCTCCACTTGCACATCCAAAGAGTATTTCAGTGTCCACATATCCACAAAACTGTCCCTGAGTCTCCAACATCTCTGCAAACAGCAGATCCAGCTGCTCAGACCAAAAGTCTTAGGAATCATCCCTGAATCCTCTCTTCTCTCTCCACATTCAATCCATTAGGAAAGCATGAAAGCTCTAGTATCAAAATGTATCTGGGACACAATCACCCACTTTAACTGCCACTACTGGCATCTTTCTTGTGGATTATGAGGACACTCTCCTAACTGGCTTCTACACTTGCTCCCTGATAATCCTCAACAGAACAGCCACAGAAATCCTTTTTAAATATAAATCAGATGAGATCATTCCTCTGCTTGAAATTCTGTAATGGCTCTCGTTTCACATGAAGAGTCCAAGTCCTTATTGTGGCCTAGGGGCCCTACTTGATCTGGCCCTGTCTGTTCTCTTTCTGGCCTTTTCTCTCACCACTTCCCCCTCCCTGACTCTGCTCCAGCCACCCTTGACTCCATGCTGTCCTGATACTTTCCAGACAAGCTCCCACCTTAGGGACTTTGCAGGGCTGTTCCCTTTGTCTGGGTGACTGATAGCTGCATGATGAATACCTTCACCTGCTTCCAGTCTTTGTTCAACAAACCCTCTCCTGAACATCCTAATTAAAACTGCAAACCACCCTTGTCCCTGGCCCTCATGATCTTACCCTGATCTACTTTTTCACTTTTTCCATAGCTCTCATCAGCTTCTAACATATTATATTTACTAATGTATATTTTTGTTGGCTGTCTCCCACAACTAAATGTCAGTGTGTTATATGAGGAAATGAATCTCCATCTCTTTGGTTCTTTTATGTAACACAAATACCTAGAGCAGGGCCTGACATAAATATTTGTCGAAGGAACAGAATGAAATAGACAGAAGGCACCCTCTAGTCTGAAAGGGGAAAGAAGAAGGTGCATCCGTTTTTCTATTGCTGCTTAACAAATGAACACAAATTTAGTGGCTTAAGCCAAAGCCACTTACTATCTTTCAGTTCTGTATTTCAGGAGTCTGGGCATGGCAGCTGCATTCAAAGCATTCACCAGATGCCTGGAAAGACCCACTCCCAAGTTTGCACATGTTGTTGGCAGAATCCAGTTTCTTATGGTTGTAGGATTGAGGTTCCCGCTTTTTTCCTAGCGGTTGGGTGGGGCTGCTCCCAGCTTCTGGAACATTCTTAGATCCTTGCCATGTGGCCCTCTCCACAGGTAGTTTATAACATAGCAGTTTTCCCCTTCAAGGTCAGCAGGAAATTTTCTCATGCTTCAAATCTCTTCCTTTGGGTAGGTCCCAGTCCCTTTTAAGAGCTCCCCTCATTAGGAGAAATCCTCAAAGATAATCTCCCTTTTGATCAACTGACTTGGGACCTTAAACATATGTGCAAAATCCCTTCATTTTTGCCATATAATGCCACTTTACCACAGGAGTGACTTCCATTATAGTGCTGCCACACTCAAAAGAGAGGGGATTACACTGGCCATGTGTGCCAAGAGGAAGGCATCCTCAGGGCCATCTTACCATACCACCGGAGGAAAAGACTGAAACCAGGTTTTCTTGTAGACCAGCTGGCCAAACAAAGCCAAAAACTATGGTAGTCGATGTCCACAGAATCAAGATTTCTAGGAAATGCTATAAAAATATCTTGGGGCACCTGGGTGGCTTGGTCGGTTAAGCATCCGAATTCGGCTCATGTCATGATCTCACGGTCCGTGAGTTCGAGCCCCGCGTCGGGCTCTGTGCTGACCACTCGGAGCCTGGAGCCTGTCTCAGATTCTGTGTCTCCCTCTCTCTCTGCCCCATCCCCACTCATGCTCTGTCTCTGTCTCAAAAATAAATAAACATTAAAAAAAATTAAAAAAAAAAATCTTAGCCACGCCCGTGTTCATAGCAGCATTACTCACAATAGCCAAAAGGTAGAAGCAACTCAAATGTCCATGGACAGATGAATGTATAAACAAATGTGGTGCACACATACAACAGAATATTATTCAACCCTAAAAAAAAGAAGGAAACTGACACCTGCTACAGTACAGAGGAACCTTGGAGACATTATGCCATGTGAAATAAGCTGGTCACAAAGGACGAATACTGTAGGATTCCACTTACATAAGATACCCAGGGTCGCTAAATTCACACAGAGAGAAGGTAGAATGGTAGTTGCCAGGCGCTAGGGAAAAAGGAGAATGGGGAGTTGTTGTTTATGGGTACAGAGTGCCGGTTTTGCAAGATGAAAAAGAATTCTGGTGACTGGTTGCACAGCAATGTGAATTTAACACAACTGAACTGTACACTTAAAAAAATGTCTAAGATGGGGTGCCTGGGTGGCTCGGTTGGTTAAACGTCAGAGTTCAGCTCAGGTCATGATCTCGCAGTTCATGAGCTCGAGCCCCACGTTGGGCTCTGTGCTGACAGCTCAGAGCCTGGAGCCTGCTCCGGATTCTGTGTCTCCCTCTTTCTCTTTCCCTCCCCTGCTCGTGCTCTGTCTCTGTCTCTGTCTCTCTCTCTCTCTCTCTCTCTCAGAAAATGAACATTAAAAAAATGACTAAGATGGTGCATTTTATATTGTGAGAACTGTACCATAATCAAAAGTAATAACAGTCTCTCTCTGCCCCTCCCCTGCTTGTGCTCTGTCTCTGTCTCTCCCTCTCTCTCAAAAATAAATAAACATTAAAAAAAGTAATAATAATAAATGTATTTGCCAATAAAACTATTTTTTTTACTGTTTTTAACTCTTTTGATAGACAGGTATGGGAGTCTGCACTGTGACAGACTGGATGTTAAGGGATGCAAATATTCACATAACAGTCTTCACAATGATTAATGACTTAAAACTGATGCTTATTTTTAAAATACAACTACTATTATATCAGAAATAACCACAGAAACAATGATCCAAACTAACTTTCCCCATTCCAGCTGGATGCGTAGCTTACCTGCCCTAGATCCAAGGTGACATTGACTTTGTTGTACTGTGTGCCTGAGGAGAGAGGAGGGCTTTGCCACCAGCGCTCAGATCCATCAATTGCATTGGTGACTGGATGTGCTTTCCTGGGGTCCTCAGAATTGCAATAGTCACAGAACTGGCCCTGGAGGGAAAAAAAGGAAAGCTCTTTTTTTGATTTTCAAATAATTTTTTCTTATCAATTTAGTAAAGAGGCAACTAAAACAAAGACCACTTTATACGGCTCAGAGATGTCAGCTGTTGAGATTCGTCATCATGTATTCTGCAGACAGTAGTAAGGCTTTTTCGTCTTCATTTAATCTTAAAGCATATCACCCATTTATACCTCTGTTTATCATGATTCTAGGATATATATTATACTCATCTTCCCATCTTTTACAGCTATGTTTTTCTTGTACCAGACAACACTTTAAGACGAACTGTCTTAAAGACGAATGTTGTACCTGAGATGCAAAGATTATCTGCATGTCTCTTTATGTACTACTCTGCAATCTCCATGTCAGGCACGAGGATACAAAGAGAACCCCCGTTTGCAGTCTCAGTGGAGGCGATAAGTACACAAACAACTGTAAGGCAAGGATACAGCAAGAGTATAATAGAATTCTGGGTCAAAGGTGATACATATTCCATGGGCTCGGAAAACAAGGTGGAAGAGGCAGAATTAAGTTGCCGGTGAGGGTAGACGTGACTTTGGTGAGTATCAATGAACGGCAAACAGGGAAGGTGCTCCAGGTAGAGGAACCAGCACCATCAAAGGCACAGAGGCCAGCAGGTCCAGTTTAACAACAGCGTGAGTAATCAAAGACAAGACCTGAAAGATAAATGGGAAGATAAAAGCTGGTCTGTGGATACCAAAGTGAGAAGCTGATAGTTAACTCCATAGATAAATGAGAATCCATTCTTATCTGGAGTGATATCTATTTGGTATTATCATCTTTACTGAATTCTGATTCTGCTGATATCATCTCATCTTCTTTTTTTTTTTTTTTCATTTTTTTTCATCTCATCTTCTTACTGAATTACTCTTTTGGGGGAGGCAAACTCTTGATTCTGTTTTGTTTTGTTTTGTTTTGTTTTGTTTGTGATGCAGAATTTTACAGACATTACCACCTGAAAAGCTGAATATATGGCCCTTTCTTATATACTGAATACATTTTAACTGGGTCAAAGGATCATGCTTATCCAGTGGTGGGCTTCACACACTGAACTGCTTTGCTCCCCAGTGAAATTACCCGAGAGCATAACCACCATACAGGAGGGGGATAAAGAAGTAAATTTACACCCACAGCCTTTCCAGAATGTTCTGCGACAAAATGGCAGCTCTGCCCTCTGACAAGCATCTTTAAAGTTCATTCTTTTTTAATTTTTGTAAATGTTTTTGTTCGATTTTTGAGAAAGAGAGACAGGGCGCAAGCAGGGGAGGGGCAGAGAGAGAAGGAGACACAGAATCCAAAGCAGGCTCCAGGCTCTGAGCTGTCAGCACAGAGCCCAACGCGGGTTCGAAATCGTGAACCACAAGATCATGACCTGAGCCAAAGTCAGACGCTTAACCAACTGAGCCACCCAGGAGCCCCTAAAGTTCATTCTTAAGTGTTCAAAGATAAATTTGATCCTGATGTGGAACAAAATGTGCTACCAAATGTTTTCATCTAGTGGGTAACTGAGGATTCTCCCATATGTGGTGATATATTTATATACAACTTTATCTTTTGATATTATGTGAAGACACTTGTAGAACTCAGAAGCAGCACCCTGGGATACGCAGCCCCATCAGTTTGTGTGATCAGAGACCATGTGTGTCTTCCTTGTCACCACACTTCAGCCAGCACATTGCCCTGCACATCACAGAAGCCCAATACGGGAAAGATCCCTTCAGAGATTTTTTTAAAGTTTATTTCTTTATTTTAAGAGAGAGAGAATCCCACACAGGCTCCGCACCATCAGCACAGAACCTGACACGAGACTTGAACTCAAAATCTGCGAGATCATGACCTGAGCCGAAATCAAGAATCAAGGCGCTTAACGGACTGAGCCGCCCAGGCGCTCCACCATCAGCAATTCTTAAAAATAAATGGGGGTTCTACAAAATGTTGCTATTATAATAAAAAGTGTAATTAAAAACTATTTAAGCTAAGACATCTAAACATCTGTCAATATTTTTCCTTTCGATGGTCTTTATTTTTCCCATTCTTTCCCAGAGAGAATTTTACCAATTTAGTTATTTATAAGGGAATTACATTATGACTCCTCAAAGTTTACAAGATTTATATACAGTTAGAAGCAAATCTCTTCAAGGATGTGGATGCCTATGACCTCTATTTATCTCCATCTCCATAACGTAGATGTAAGGAATGGAGAGGATGCTTTTTGTGTTGTTTTGGTGATTCTCAATTTTCAAATAATTATGTTAACAATTAAAGCGAACATTTACAGAGCACCTTTAATGCACCAGGCATCGTGCAGTTCCTACTTGCACCCTAAGATTATAACTTCTATTTTACAGTTGAGGAAACACAGTGAATTACATTAAGTAATTTCCACAAGAATCACACAACTGGTAAAATGGTAGAAGCAAAGCTTAAGCCCAGGGCCCCAGAAATATGTGGTCCACCACCCTGTACCTCTCTTCCCCATCTAGGGGCTACAACTCTGGTTTATTAGACATTGTGGATAGTCTGTAACATACATTCCCTCCTGTAACTGGTCTTAAAGATAGCCTTCACAATAACCTAAGAGTTCCCGTTCCAAGGCCTCTCTCATTCAGAATCATATTGTTTCTGCTGATACCCTACTCCTTCTGCTACCCCAAATCAAACTGTGACCTGTTATATTACGGATAGGAACACTGGCTCCAGAGCTCTAGCACTACTAATTGTCTCATCAAGGGCTAATTACTAAAATATGAATTTTGAGTGTGTGAACAACAAATAATTTGAATGTACGTATTCAAAAAATTATAATTTCATGAGCAAGAGAACACTGCAGTTACCCAAGTTAGTGTCAACACTGATATTTGGCAAGCTAACTAATATAACAGATACGTAAGTTAAAGATGGATTTCTGGGGCGCCTGAGTGGCTCAGTCATTTGAGCATCCAACTCTTGATTTTGGCTCAGGTCATGACCCCAGGGTCATGGGATCAAGCCCCATGTTGGGCTCCACACTCAGGTGCTTAAGATTCTCTCTCTCCCTCTGTCCCCCTCCCCCACTTGTGCTCTCTCTCTCTCTAAAATAAAATATAATTAAAAATTAAAAATTATAAGAAAGATGAATTTCTAGTAGTGAAGTTTGCCTAAGTGACAAAAATAAGCCAAACCCTTCTGTTCGTCTCTACATGTCTACATGTGTCATTAGTAAAACCTCTGGCGTTCTTCAGCTGCTGCTAAGGTGCTTGGTCCTTTTGAGAAAGCTAAGGCCATGTGGGGTC